TTTTACAACATCCACTCATAGAACAAATAAACACTTCAACAATAGGCATGGCTTCTGATATTATCACAAAATAGATGGTAATTAGAGCAATGAGTTCCTGGCTGGTGTATCATGGAAAATGAAACTGGGTTTTAGTCCTCCCCATTACAAGAGCAGCTACGTGTTTGTTGTAAGTGGCAGGCAGTGGAAGAGATCCCTGATGAAAGGGCAGAGGGTGCTTTGGGAGGGAGAGGTTGCAGCTATGGTGAGTAGTTTCATTACAAACATGTCTCTCTCTGCATTAGAGAATGAGGCCCCAATAGCCATTTTCAGGGTTGATGATGGCTGTGGTAGAGCCATGTGGTAGTTTGGGGGGTGGGGGTGCGCGCAATGCAGTGGTGTGGGCTTTTGCACACTGAGCTAGGATTCTTTGGTCATTTCCATATTCCATTATATCTAATAATTTTGTGTGAGCTCCTTGATGAAGAGATCAGGTCTGGTTCATTTTATAATATACCCATCACAAAATTAGTGCTCAGTAAAGTCATATACAAATAACCATGTAACATACCAGTAATTTTTACTGGTATGTTACATGGAGCAATAGTTTATATTTGGGACAGGATTAAAGATAAAGTAGCTTTCAGCCTGAGTATGGGAATTTGCCTCTGCTGATGGTGACTTTCCCTTGGGAGAAAAAAAGAACCAAATCAAGAGTATGTCATGATGTACGATGAACCATATCATAAAACCAAAAAGTCCCCTGATTTTTCTGCTTGTGGCCCAGATTGTTGTAGCTTGTTAAAGACTCCTCTCTAAGTCAGATGCAATAGCTGAGGCACTAATGATGACTGGGCCCTCCCCAACCACACACCCACCCTCCATTCCTCTGCATGAGTCTTATGGAAAAGAAGCCAATTAGAGTTATACTCCCTCCCCTCTTCTTAGGTAACAGCCTAATAATAGAGGGAGAGAGATGGGCCGGTAAGACACTGATTTTGCCCTGATACACAGGATGGGGGGCTTGAGAGAGAAGGGGGAGGGTATTATATGGATACATTTAAAACAATGCTGTGACAGTCCTAATCCTTAGGTTTTTCTTTGAGTTGGAAATCCCCATGGTTGAGCCATGGCCCAGAGCAGCTGCTAAAAGCTGCAATTATCCTCATAGGGAGAAAGCCCGGCCCCTGAGAATCATCTATACTGGGTCAAGGTTGGGCTGACTGATTTAGTACCATGTGCCTCTCCTCCTAATTCAAGCATCCTTCGCTCTTTAAATGGCTGACCTTAAAGAATGCTTCCTTCTGTTCTTAACATATTTTTAATGTTTATCATGCCATGTGCCAGGCATACACACACACACACACACACACATATATATATATATATGGATTTTTATACACACACACACACACACACACACACACACACACACACACATATGGATTTCTCTATCCTCATAAGCACTGTGAGGAAATACCATTGTTTTCTCCACTTTTCAGGTGTGATAACTAATACAGGTACCTTGAGCAAGAGCACACCTCATGTAAAGTATACAGCTGAGGTTTGAACCTTGGCAACCTTAGTCCCTAAACACTGACATGGGTTGCTTCTAATCACTGAGAACATCTCATGGAAATATATTTGCAAAATCATACATGGTTGCATAATCATACATGTTTGTGTATTCATACATGCTTGCATAACCATACATGTTTGTGCAATGTTTACATATGTGTAGACATAAATATAATTTGCATAGAAGTATAATTTATATGTTTGCAAATGTTTAACTTATAGATACGATTTGCATATAGAAGATAGAGGCAAAAGTAGCTTTACAGTTGTGAGTACCTGAAACAGAGTTTATTCTGTTATTATTACTTATTAATTATTGTATTATTTTTCCATACAAACAACTGTAAACCTACTTTTGCCACACCCTGTGATTGTCACATTAATCATAGACATACTTTTCATATATATTTTTACATCAGTGGTTCCCAACCTTCCTAATGCCACGACCCTTTAATACAGTTCCTCATTTGTGGTGAACCCCAACCATAAAATTATTTTTGTTGCTACTTCATGTAATTTGCTACTGTTATGAATTGTAATGTAAAATCTGATATGCAGGATGTCTTAGGCGACCCCTGTGAAAGGGTCATTTGACCCCCAGGTTGAGAACCGATGATTTACATTGGTAATTTGCATATAGAAGAGGGTCTGGAATTAAGTAACAATGGATATTTTGGGTCAAGAGAATTGGTGTTTATTGTACTCATCTCTTTGCTTTATAACAAACATAATGATTTGACACTAAATTTTCTTAACAAAAACATTTTTCTTTTTATTTATTTAAAATACATTTTTTTATTGTTGATAGTATTACAGATATCTCCTATTCCGCACCCCCCTTTGCACTCCTCCACCCAACCCCTATACCCCAAGTCTTCACTACACTATTGAAGACTTATGTTTCTTTATTTAGGACATTTAAAGACACGCATTGACTGAATACCTGCCAACTTAGTACAGAATTACACAAAGCCCACACAGAGCCTGAGTCCAGAGCAGCACCTGGCTATCTGGTTGCCATACTGGCTTATTTTCTTTTCTAGAAAGGAGAGTGGAGGTTTCCAAAGGCGAGCATTACTCTATGGGCCCAAGGACCCCTCTCCACCAAGCATTCCTCTTACAGTTGGCTCCATTTTATCTTAATATCAATTTTATCCATTTTTTCAGAGTCCCCAGATAAATTAGAACAAATGAACTCTCCATATTTTGCCCAGAGCTGTGGGCCTCCAAACTGCCCAGCTCCTAGGAATGAGGAGCCTCTTCTGCAGCAGAGCTATCTGTTTAGCACTTTACAGTAAGATTCGGGGCCCCCTTCAGCCTTGTCTGTTTCAATAGGCCCCACACTCTAATCCTCAACCCCTCCCTAGTTACTGGGCCTTGTGCCTCAGTAAGCCACTCACCACTCAGGCAGACTATAGAATCAAAGCCATTTGGTTTATTTTTTCTTAGTTTTCCCCCTGTTAAATGGACAGAGGAAGAGAGCCATCATTTACTACTTGTAGCTCATGTACAAATGGGGAGCACTGAGAATGCTCACACAGAGCCGATTGGCCTTCATCAATCCTGGGAGATGAATTCACAGTGTTCTTGTAAGTGACCAGGACAAAGCAGGGGTCTCAGGACCCCTAGGAGAGGTGTGCAGATTGCTGTTTTCTATCTTGAGAAGGGAGAGCCAAGGTATGTTTACCTCCCTGCTTTTCCACAGAGATTGCTCCAGAAACGAATTTTGCCAGGTGAGACCAGGGGACACCTGCCCACTGGAGCCAAAGCCTGCCAAGAGATCTAGCTCTACTAGGGCATCAAGGCAGGGCCTGTCCCAAACCAGATGCTGAGAGATCATTTGTTAGCAGGAGTGGCTCTGTGAAGGGCACCTCTAAAACAAACATACACATAGTGACCCCTTCTCCCCCCACTATCAGCCCTGTGGCTCGGAGCAGCCAGTGGTGGGTCGACACTGAGATTTCAAGGCCACTTCCTGCGGGTGCTGCTTGCCCAAAGCCACAGTGGCCTTCCCTGGGCTGATACCACGTCCCATTCCAGCAGGAAGATTCATTGCAGTAACTTCACCACCACCAGGGGCAGCAGTGCAGTATGCAGACACACCTCAGACATGTGGATTCAGTTCCAGTCCACTGCAACTAAGTGAATACCGCAATAAATTATATTTTTAAGTGGTCTGTAGACACATTTCAGTGTGTTGGGTATGATGCAGAAGGATTATCCGTCTATCCTTCAAAAATAAAATCTGTATTTTGAAAGCTACTCCAGAGGTGATTCTTACAATAAACCAGAGTTGAAAGGTTCTGTGCCATAACTTCATATCAGTGGTTCTCAACCTTCCTAATGCTGTGACCCTTTAATATAGTTCCTCATCCAGAGGGTGAGGCATCATGACCATCAGAGCTGGCATGAATGAGGATATGGTAGAGGGGAGTTCAGGGCTTCTGGCTAAGTTTCTCATAACATACATCTTTCCTGATCCCAACTCAGCCCCTGCAGTCTTATTCCACTTATTGGCAACCTTAAGTCAGCCTTCCTGTCTGGCCGTACAGGTGAACAGAGACTTAACACTCTAGAATTAGAGTTCATGAAAGACTGAGAATAGTTTTACCTACCTAATTCCTACTTGTCCTTTAAGGGCATTACAAAAGCAACCTCTTGTAGTTGAAACCTTTCCTGATCCATCTCTGCCATGTATAAAAGTATGATATCTCCTCTCTTTAACTCTTTAAAAAATTGATTTGAGAGAGGAAGGGAGAGGAAGAGAGAGAAAGAAACATCATTGATGAGAGAGAATCATTGATCGGCTGCCTCCTGCGTGCTCCTCACTGGGGATCGAGCCCGAAACCTGGGCATATGCCCTTGACTGGAATTGAACCTGGGACCCTTCAGTCCATAGGTTGACGCACTATCCACTGAGCCAAGCCATCTAGGGCCTCTCTTCGACTCTTTCTACTCTTGGAATCTCATGCAATATTTTCTCAAGTGGATGCTCTTCAAGGGTAGGGGCCACGTGTAGCTCATCATCACAGCCCCGTGGCCCTTAGCCTCTTACGTCAATAGTGATTGAAGGGGACACAGAGCCCAGCTGCTTAGATGGGTTTTATTGATGCACCGGGATAGATGGGGTGGTGGACAGAGGGCAGAGAGAAAGGTAGTTCTGAAAATTCCACAAGCCGAGGAACATTCGGTGAAAGGGACGACTTGTTCTGTGTCTTCCTGCTGCTGAGAAGGTCTGCACAGCAAAGCAGCAAGACAGAAGAGTGTAGGAGAGAAAGCACCTTGCAGAAATGGCCTCACTGAGAAAGGCCTAAGAGAGAGGCACCAGGATTAAGATCTGATGTCCAGGGACATGCCAGCCAGACTGGCCAGGGAAGCATAAGCCATCGCCTCTCCGGCTGACGTCTTCTGGCACGGGGCACTGGGAGCCAGGGCAGGGATGCTCATGGCTTGTTGCCTGTGAAGTAGGAATACAGCCCCCTGGCTGTGAGCTCTGGCTTTCCTTCCGGCTGGGCGGTGTGTAGGCTGCCCTGGTCCTGCCTTCCAATCCCTGCCTCTCTTGATGGGTCATCAACCCACTCTTCCTTGACCTTTGGGGGGTCTCTTTCACCCTGCCCTCCTGTCACACTGCCCCCTGGGTGAGTGCTGCTGCCGTCTTGTCTGCCTGTCGAGGTGCTGGTCCCAGCCTGGGCTTGACCTCCGGGCACTCTCTCTTCTGCCTCAGAGCAGCCTGACTGTGTCTGGGTCTGTCCCTGTTCTCTAGCCCCTGTCTGGTTCCTGTCCTGCTGTGCGGTCTGGGTGTGTGACCCTGTCTGTGTCTGAGTGTGCCCTCCTGTGGCTACCTGGCTCATCTGGCTCCTGTCTTGGGTTTGGGTCTCAGTCCCTCTGGTCTGGCCATGGGTGGACTGGGTGCTAGTGCTTCCTGTCTGGCGGTTCCTGTCCTGCTGGGTGTGTGACCCTGTCTGTGTCTGAGTGTGCCCTCCTGTGGCTACCTGGCTCATCTGGCTCCTGTCTTGAGTTTGGGTCTCAGTCCCTCTGGTCTGGCCATGGGTAGACTGGGAGCTAGTGCTTCCTGTCTGATGGCTCCTGTCCTGCTGCGTGTGGGACCCTGTAGGTATCTGAACGTGTCCTCTATTGGCTACCTGGCTCATCTGGCTCCAGTCTTGAGTGTGGGTATCAGTCCCTCTGGTCTGGCCATGGGTGGACTGGGTGCTAGTGCTTCCTGTCTGGCGGCTCCTGTCCTGCTGTGTGGTCTGAGTGTATGACCCTGTCTGTGTCTGAGTGTGCCCTCCTGTGGCTACCTGGCTCATCTGGCTCCTGTCTTGGGTTTGGGTCTCAGTCCCTCTGGTCTGGCCATGGGTGGACTGGGTGCTAGTGCTTCCTGTCTGGCGGTTCCTGTCCTGCTGGGTGTGTGACCCTGTCTGTGTCTGAGTGTGCCCTCCTGTGGCTACCTGGCTCATCTGGCTCCTGTCTTGGGTTTGGGTCTCAGTCCCTCTGGTCTGGCCATGGGTGGACTGGGTGCTAGTGCTTCCTGTCTGGCGGCTCCTGTCCTGCTGTGTAGTCTGGGTGTGTGACCCTGTAGGTATCTGAGTGTGTCCTCTAGAGGCTACCTGGCTCATCTGGCTCCCGTCCCACTCCATGGTGTGGGTGGCACCTGTCTGTGTCTGAGTTACGGTGCCACTAACAGTCCCATGTGTCTGGTGGGCTCTGTTCTGTTCTCTAGTCTGTGACTGTCTTTCCGGCACCCACTCGCTGGTCATGTGACTCTGGTCTTCTCCCACTCTCTGGCTAGGCTCCACGTGCCCCCTCGCTTGTGTCTGCTGGCTCTCTATCCCCTGTCTCTGGGAAGAGCTGATGTCCGGTCCTTGGGTGTGTGTCCCAGCCCCATCTTGCCCTCTGGAAGCCTGCCTGCCCTGGCCACCACTGCTCCCCTTGTGATGCTGTCCTTCTCCAAGGCCTCCCACTTCTGTGACACTTCTCTGTCCTTTTCCCAGCTCCCCCGAGGTCCCACGGGAGGAGTTTCCAGACTCTTGAGATCCACAAGCTCCCTCAGGACCCTCACTCAATGTCTTAAAACAGGCCTGCGCGACTTTGAACACCAAGACCAGGAATTCCTTGAATTCTACGGTCCCTGAGTGGTCTTCATCCAGCAGGCGCAGGACCTCATCCACGGTGGCCGGGTCGTGGGGTTTCTGGGGAGAAGATCAGGCAAAGTTAGCAGCCTTCCCCACTCAACTGCCAGAACCCCAGCCCCGAGCCTGGAGCCCACCTGCTCTGCCCCGATCCCCTTTCCCATACAGCAACACGAACACAAAATCACTTTCCTTTCTCAGTCCTGTCTCGCTCTCTCATGGGTAGGAAACACCTTTTATTTTGTATCCTCTGTTTCTGGCATAATGTCTGGCCCACAGAAGAAGTGGACAAAGATTTCATGAAGAATGAATAAATGATTGCATGCGAGGTGATTCACTGGGCGGTCCTCGGGCCCTGGGCCCCAGCACAGAGGCTACATTCTCACCAAGAGAAACAGGGCGGGAACCTGGCTCCTGGGGAATTCTGTGAGATCCTTATTGAGGCTCAGGTGTTTCCCCAACTTAGGGGGTTGGGGATCCCCAGGCACTACAGATTGCCCTGAGCAGGTGAAAACAGCACCCTAATATACCCACACATCCCTGTCCCCAAGACCTTGACCATCTGAGTGTTTTAGCTGTGAGCGAAAGGTAGGAAGAGACTGGGAGGTGCACCTGGGTCTGATTTGCTCTCCCAAAATTCATCCCTGATGGGAGCACTCAGCTAATGTTTCTGAGCAAATGCTCTGTACAAGGCATGGAGCTGGGCTTCTCATGAATGCTTATTAATGGATGATGAAATCTCTGCTAGACAGAGTAGATGATCACCATAGCAGATTTAAGAAGCAGCAGAAGTACAGAAGTTATTTTTATT